GCTTTCATATATTGTGAAGATTTTAATTTTCAATTTTGGACTGTTTAAATACCCACACACCCATACATGTCCAGCATTTGCTCTCAGACACACATGGTCTATCCAATGTTGATTTTTTTTTCATTTACGATGAAAATAATGATTAAGCGCTCTAAGAAAAATTCTCAGGACCCTTTGGGTTAAGGCCATGGGAACAGAGATTGCAAAGGCATCGACACAATCGCCCATGTCCTGGCCTGAGAAACGCTCTGTCTGTGCCGCCTGTTTGAGGGTCAGGGCCTCCATGGTCGACACTCCAGTCCTTGCCTCAAAGTCTCCAGGACCGCATCTCCCAGACACCCCGCTGAGCATCTAGCAGCTAGCCCTTGGAGCCCCCGCTGGGCAAGCTCGGCGGGGGCTGTAGGCGACGGGCAGGCTCCCCGGGGGCCAGATTGCACCCATTTTGCGCCAGGCTTTTTGTGTGTGTCTCTGCATATGTTGGCGTGTTCTGAAATCTACATCTCTGCACACACATGAGATTATACGTGTGAGTGGGTTATCTGTGGGTCTGTGGGAGGAAAGAGGTCTTCCAACCAGATGCCTTTGCTCCCAGAACTCTTAAGGGGGGGGGGGGAATTCCTGCTGGGCAACTCAGTAGGAACATACATCTCGCCGCAGGGGACGGCCATCAGCCCTAATGACGAGTCACATCAGTCTTCCTCTCAGCCCGGCCTGACATGCCCAAGTGTCTTGTTCAGGGTGGCATATCCGTGGCGAAAGAAAGCGTATGGTAGGGGTGCTTAATCAAGCCCTGTGGGAACCTGTGTTCACTCTCAGCGGTGGAGGGCGAGACTGTTTGACACAGTTTACTCGCTTTGCGGGAGGTTGTGATCTTATTTCCCATTTAGCCGTGGTGTCCTTCTTTTGTCTGCATTGTGTAATTACATTTATTTTGTATTTTCTCCTCAATCATTGTACTAAAATAAAGATTTTGAACGTTATTCATAGGCTTGTGGCTGCTTGCAAATTCAGTAGTCATACCTTTGGTGGTTTGAGTATAACTGACTTTAAGGTTTTTTGGCTTAACTAAAAATACAGAAGTACTGGTGTAAGGAGGGATAAAACAGCCTGGAGTATCGGTGTTGAGTTTGGGTTTCAGAGCGCCAAATCGGGCAAAACAGGGTGGCAGGTGTACTTTGAAATCGCCTACGAAGGCGGCGCTGTCTTTAGGCAGAGAACAAAAACGTCTGTTTTGTGTTTTTCACCAGCAAGACTATGCTTCCTTCCAAAAAAGGAGAGCAGGACATCAGAGGTCACTCTGTTCTGCCTCGCTAGCACACATCTCTCCCACTTTGCTTTCAACATCTCCATCACTGGGAGCTATACTGCTGCCGATTATATAATGGCAAGAATGTTACTTCTGGAGCTAAACCACATCAGATAAAAGGAAACAAATGGAGGAGAGGGATGGAGGAACAGAGGGAGAAAACAGAATAAAAACACAGCGGCCCATGCCTGGCCATGGATGACTCCAGAGGTTGTTTTTGCATGAAAGACTTTTCGCTTTATATCTCTCTCTTTCTCTCTCTCTCTCTCTCACCCGCTTGCTGTGTGGAGAGCAAGTGATGCTTCGCTTGCCTCCAGCCAGGAGGTAAAACTGAACTGCAGAGCCAAGCTGCCAAATGATGAAAGACTCTGGCATCCAGGGATGCTCTGAGCCTGGACCAAGAGCTCAGAGCGAGAGAAAAATGCTCGCTTTTCAACTTAACAATTTTTTTTTCCCAAAGACATTTCTTCTTTCTTGCTTTTTTGGGGTGTAGGTTTTTCTACCAACAGAGCGAGCAATTTTTCTTCTTTTTTTTTTATCAGTGTTTGCGTCGCAGCCTTGCAGCACAAGAGCTCCTCGTGGGAGACGGGTGGATGGATGGAAGTAGTGAGGAGGAGGAGGAGGAGGAGGAGGGCAAAAGGATGGTAGAGAATTGAGTGTTTGTGTGTGAGTGCATGTGTGTGAATTGTTGAGTGTAAAAGTTAATGTGAAGGTTTTTGTTTTTAATAGTTTTGTCCTCTTTGCTTCCATACCGGACACCTTCAATGCAATGTTTGGATCCAGATGAGTTCTTGAATCAGAATTATAAACACTCTTACAAAGCGGCCTTTGGAATCTATTTAGAATGATCGGCAGCTCCAACAATATATAAAATATCTGTATTTTCTGTTTTCCATTGTTACCACCTGCTGCTGCCTTGTGTTGTTTTGAAACCTCACATACAAGAATTTTTTTCCTCCAATTTCCTCACTTCACAGAAACTGTGAACAATTTAAGTCGGAAATTCAGAAATTCCCTTTAGGCAAAGCGTTCTCGCTGCGCGGTGTGAGACATTTCGTGGCCCACCAGATTAGACTAGAGTGGTTATTTGAGAGACTGGGAAAAGTGTGTTGACTGTGGCTGAATTCAACCACAAACAGAGTAGAATCCTCAGATTCTTAGGTCAGGCTGCAAGTGCCATGCCAACACTGGTTCCCTCATATAATCCCGTCTCAAACAGAGCGGAAATGTGATGCAAGTTGTCAGCAACACCATCAAGATTGCATTTTTCTGTCTTTACAGTAAAGCTACTCCCTTCAAAATTCCAGCCAGGGGTGTAATCCTCCATCTTACACCATTCCCTCTATTCATCACACTTGATTTTTCATCCCTCTGTGAAGCAGGGAAGGTGAGGAAACTGGAGGAAAGACTCTGACTCTGTTTGTGTGCGCAACAAAGAGACTGTCGCCCGCAACACAATCAGAGAGGGAGTTAGAAAAGAAAACCAACTGTGTGTGAGTGAGTGTGTCTATGTGTGCGTGTTTGTGTATGGGCCAATGCAGACATAGACACACACCTTGTTCATACGCCCATGTAGAACAGTAAGCAGTGTGTGTGTGTGTGTGTGTGTGTGTGTGTGATACTCAAGTGCACGCATAAAATGGAAAAAAGCTCCGAGCAGTGGCCAGCGTCCAGATCTTGAGCAAAATCAGTCTCATATGTGCCGGCTATGTGTGTGTGTGTGTGTGTGTGTGTGTGTGTGCTTGTTGGGGAGAGGCAGTAACCTGGGCCTGTTTATGTACCACGCTATGTCTGTGGGGAGGCCTTAAATTGGAGCCATGCTGCAGGGGATTAGGCCTGCACTGCAAAAATATTCATCTTAACAGGACTTGTAGTCTTGTAGCCAGTCGGGTGAACTAATTCTATTAGAAACAATGCCATCAGTGGTAGAGAGCAACGTATGAAATAAAGTTGAAGTACTTCACAGAAAAAAACAGAAGAATCCATCAAGAAGGTTAACAGGAATTAGGTGAATTTAAGAATGTTGTACTGGTAATAAACCTACTCCTTTAGGAACTACTTTGGTGCTGGAACTAGTCAAAAATTTTTTTTTTTTGTATACTGAGTGATACAGACCAGAGCAGATTTTACTGTGAACCTGGAAAAAAAAAGTATCCTGCAAATGTGATCAGCCCTCTTCCACTGTAGGTCAACTAAAGGATATTGGGTCTTGGTAGCGCCACTGGTGGCGTGAGGTCCAAACCATGTAACCGCAACAGAAAAGCCACTTTATTTCACAGGACGTCTTTCTCCTGTTTTTCCACAGCTTTCCTGCTTCACTCAGCTTAAACCTAAACAGTGCCCTCAAAATTATGCTCATTATTTTCTTAGACTTGGATGGGGCACAGGGACATAAGTATTGGTGGTAGGTTCAAATAATGTGTTCATGGGATTGGGAAACCGGCAACCAGTCACCCAGTCATCCAGCAGAAGCCAAGAAGGATCAGCGCAGTCCTCCATGTGTGGCGGATGTTTTCCACAAGCCAGGCAGCCAGCTTGGCCGCAGCTGTCCAAACCGCAGGCCCTGGGAGAAGAGGAGGAGGAGGAGGGGCTGGGGAAGGAGGAAGGAGGCTCGGGGAGGTGGGGGGGTGGGGGGGCAGCGGGGAGGCTGGTGTGCTTGGCAAAGGTCAGACAGGCTGAGGCGGCCGGGAGTGTGGGAACTGTCCGGGAAGGCATGTGCGAAATGCTCCGAGACGAGGTATCGTCTTACAGCCAGACCGCCTGAGGGAAAGTGCTGTGTGCCTGCATGAGTAAGTGTGTGCGCGCGTGTGTGCTTGCTTGTGCCTGCTGCATGCTTCTTGGTGTGTGTGTGTGTGTGTGTGTGTGTGTGTGTGTGTGTGTGTGTGTGTACAGTTCTGAGAGTCTCGTAACTCTGGGGAAAAAAAGACTGAGCAGTTTTTTATGTGAAAAGATAGCGAAGGAAATAACCCCCCCCCCCACTACCACCACACACACACACACACACACACACACGTACACACATAACTGTGAACATTCCTGCTGTTGAATAAGGTTGTCTTTGAGAGCAAGTCATGGCAGCACTAAAGACTGTGCACAGAGGTATGTAGCACATGTGTGTAACATGATTTCACGTCAGGAGACCACTGACAATCTTAATCGCCCCATCACTGGGAAATTATCCTGCTGCACCATTAATATTGTTGTGGTTCCGTGGAGTAATGTATGGCGTGTGCTGCTGAACTGCGTGTGCGTTCTAAATTGCTGTGGAGACTTCCCAGCGTGCTTCTCAAAGCCGCGGCACTCAGATTCCGTCACGTTTTGAGGGAAAATGGCTTCATAATGGTCCCTGTTTGTCTGCATGCTGAGACACACTGATGGTTTTAATGAAACACAGACATCCTCAGTTGAACTTTATTTGCACTCTCAGAAGGGATGAAAAGTTTCCACGCACTAATGCACGCGCACTCACATGGTGGCAGTGGTAGTCTCGCGAGCCGAGCTTCAGTCTCACGCGTCGGGCAGTGAGGTGAAGTGTGATGATACAGTGTTCATGTCCAAACACACTCTGCGAACATTAGCAGCGGCCCCCTCCCCTTCATGTGAAGAATTTTCTATAAAAGAAAGAAAGAAAAACTTCCTGTGTGCGTGTGTCTGACTGTCATAACCGTAGGTGTGTGTGTGTGTGTGTGTGTGTGTGTGTGTGTGTGTGTGTGTGTGTATACTGCAAACTCCCACCTTTTTCTGCTCCTCCTCCTCCTCCCATCTTTCACAAGGCCGGGACTTTGAAGAAGACTAATCCGGGTTATTTGCTTTCCCATGCTTGTGTCAGGCCCCTCTCTCAATTGACTGGAAAATACAGTCTGCCGGGCCGCTCCCTCTGTCCCTGATTAATCCGAAAAGGATGTGGCCGATGGGCGTACATAAAGCGGGCTGAATGGTGGGTAAATATGATCTCACCGCCAGTCTTTTCACCCACAAGGCAACACTCTCACTGTTCCTCAAAAACCTTTATCCGGCCTGACATCCATTCAGGGCTTGTTGCATTCAGCCGGGCTCAATGAGAGGTTCCCGAAGAGCGACGTGCCCACAATGGGGCCCAGTTCATTACAGTAAATAACGGTGGCAGCCGTCGCATTGTTTCCCCCAATGCGAGTTAATTAAAAACACTTAAATCGTTGTTTTAGTCCCCTCTCTTCCTCTTTGGGTAGGAAACTGAAGGGGACCACCCCCCACACCCCCACAAACCCCTCTGCGCCCATCCCACCTTAAACCCTGGTGAAGAAGGAAGGGAGCCGCTTCAGAGTCTTTAAGCTGTTTTATGGGGAGAAAGGTGAGGCCTGCTGTGTGTGCTGGGAGAGCAAAAAAAGAAAGTGTTGGTTAACAAGTGCGCATGTGGCCTGTTTGAAACAAGGGAGAAAGTATGTGTGGGAATCGGCCGCATCTGCTTTCCAAATGTATTGAATGTGTGCAGATGCAACATGTGGCAGCAAGATTTTTTTTTCTGTGTGTCTACGTGTTTCAGGGACTTGCATGCACATTCACGAACACCAGTGTCCATATTTCTGCAAAAGACGTCTCTTTCATGTACGGTATGTTTGCGTGTGTGCAGTTTCTTTAGAAGCTTCTCAGAGAGAGACAATCTTTCCCAGTGTAGTTCCCCAGCGTTGTGTACGAGTCATCCCTCTCCCACAGTCACGCGATGGCCGATTGTGGATGCCTGCCAAGGCCTCTGCGGCCTTCGCAGAGCTGTGCAGCGTTTTCCCTTCCCAGGGGCCCTCGGAACTCCAGCCTGGCCTCCGCACACCGTGTTTATGTTTTGTGTAATTGCAGACCTCAGTCTGAGCGGGAGGCCAGCGTCTGTCAAAAAAGCAATGTGTTCCCTTTAAGCGGGGGCTAAATCACATCAACTCCCTGCCTGCCTCACGAGGCTGGAGGCCCCCAGGCCTGCTGATTGGATAAGAGGGAAATGGAAATTCCACTATGAGCCATATAACTACCTCTAACACAAACCAAAACTCAACACTCTTACACAGACACATGTTATGTGCACAATAATCCAAACACATTATTTCTCTTTCATAGCCCCCAACCAGCCGTGGCCCCCACGTGTTCGGACCCACACCTTGAGCAGGCAGCCGTGAAATGGGGCCCTGTCTGGGAACTGTTGGCAGGCCGGATGGAAACAGCAAAAGCGTGGTCCTCGTTAGCTGGGATGACGCTAGCTAGCCCGTCGTCTCTGGGGAGCATGCTTGGCTGCTGCTGCTGCTGCTACTGCCGGGAGGCCGAGAAAAGGAAAGGTGAAACATAACCAGCTCTGGGGCCAAGGATTAAATCAGAGACAGCTGTGAGCCAATTACATCTTCATAAACCAATTATTAAATAGCTAGTTAATACGTTGATCTGACCCCAGACAACACCTATTATCTTGTTACAGTATCAGCAGCTGCGACAACAACCGCCGACCTCCAGGTCACCCAACCCACTGACCTATTCTGACCAGGGAGGCCGGACCACATAATTCTCTTGACCCCCAACGCATCCCTCCCCTCCCACCCTCTTTCTCTTCCCCTGTTGGGAAACAGGGGCAGATCAAGGGGTGGGTGGGGTGATGGGCGGGATGGTGACCTGGAGAATATAAGGAGTGGGGAAAATTCCAGTGTGTTTGAATCTCTTCACGTCCACCCTGGAATCGGGGATCGCAGCTCACATTCTCCCCACACAAACCCAGCCCCTGTGACACGCCTGGAATGCTGAGCCTTTTTACTTCTTCCCCAATTTAGGTAATTACCGCAGCGGTCACGGTGCTCAGAACAGAGACCGTGACCCTGGGCGGTGCACAGTGACAGCCCATGTTGCTGAGGCGGCGCTCTGCTTTGTGCTGCCGAAAACAGACCTGCCGACAAATTCATCACTGACTTCTCTGCAACGGCCCTTATTTAGTGGCTATAATGCCTGCCAACTGGTGCATTGTGCCGTACCTGCGGTACCAAACATTCCCATGGAGTGTGTTGGAATAATGATGGCCCGCCATTGGTTGCCAGCTCTTTATTTGCTGTTGCTCACTTAATGCGTAGATTCAAGGCAGGCACATCTCAATTTTAAACCATTTATCTTCATTTTATGCTTTTCTTTATTTGTGTGCTGGTTGTTGCAGCTATTTGACACCTATAGCCATGTATGTAGTTCACAGAGAGAATGGGGACCCTCCCTTGCTTCTTGCTGACTCGGGGTGTCTATAATAATTTTACCCGCCTCAGAGTTAATGGACCCATAATAGGCCATGAAGCTGGTGGAGCAGGTTAATGAAACAACTGTAGAAATGAAGCTGAGTCAGTGAAAACCCACAATAGCACGTTGCTTATAATTTTCTAAATCTGTCATTGCAATTCCATTTGAGTTATCCTTAAGTGTTTTATTTTGTGTGTGATGCAAACTATATTCAAATAACATTCGTATCTGTTTTGAACTTTGCCAAAATAAACTTCATTCAAAGAACTTGTTGTTATTCAAAAGCAAACACTGGGAGGCGTTTGCTGACCTTGTATAATGCCCATATAATGGCTGCATGCTTACCTGCAGGTATGAGCCGCTATCAAGTAGACTATCGCTCAAAATCTTTGCTGTGTCATCAAGCAATAAGCAAAACTGTCTCTTGTTTGTGTTTTTTAGAAAACCGCTGATGTCTTGTTTTTCCACCGAGTAAGACCAGTTAAAATTTGGATCAAATTAAATTAAAGGGCTCAAAAAATAATTTCTCTCACATGATTCGAATGTAACTATTTAATGATATCACCTTCACATCCAGTGGCACTGACGCAAACCTTCTATTCAAAGGCATGGTGGTGGTATGTTTAGGGTCCAACACACGCTCACGCCCCCCAAAACCCGCGCGGGTCCCACAACCCTCCATCTGTGTGGGGTTCAGGTTGCACCGTGTCCAGTAAAGATTTTGTTTCACTGCAGGTGTTCCATCAAAGTGCTTGCTGGTGCACGGCTGGACTCAGACCCCGGCTCACTTAAATCACTGGCTGGCTGCAAAGAGCCAGCCAGTGATTAGGCTGCACGCGTGTGCCGGGGCCAAATGATGGGGGCCCACCGCTGTAGCACATCTGAGCCTTGTGGCCAGAGGTGTCATCCAGAAGATTTCACTCAGACTCCTCGAGGGTCCTCCTCCATCCTCCTTCCTCTCCCCCTCTTCCTTTTTGTTCCCCGGTGGTTGTAATTGAAAATGTATTTATTGCAGGGCCAGAGGCTGGACCGGGGAGAGGGAGGCGCTGCAGCTGATGAAGACGAGGCTGAGGTGAGGGCTGCAGGGTTTGGCTCCTCTTCAGCACCAGCAACTCACCCACACAGAGTCAATTTCTTTTTCTCTGAGTCTTTTTTGGCTGCTCTCTTTGTCGACTGCTCCCTCACATACTTCCTCTCTGCTTGCTCGTCTTTTCTTTCAGCATCTTGCCTCTCATCTTTGCAAGTCGCTTTTATCCTTTGTCTCCCTTTATTGTGCTTGATTGGCCGTATTTAAGGTCCATTTCAAATGTAAATGGTGCCGCTTGGATTGATAGAAGTTATGTGCTACGTTAGCAATTTGTCCACTTTATTTCCCACTTCTTGAGGTTTTGTGACGTTTAAAATACATGAATTCAACCAAAAAGCATGCAAAATATGTCTACCACGTGATTCTTTTACATGATAACATAAATTAAATGTGCTGTCTAGAAAAATGCGTTTGCTTATGTTCATTTTGTTTCGTTTGATTATTTTAGACTTAAGCTTTGTGAGGTCTTTGTTGTACATTTTAACAGCAAAAACTCTATAAACCGTATAGATAATATAAAAATAAATATCATTACCTCTTGACGTTGATAAAAAATCAACAACCTAACTAATACAAAAAAAGGAAATACTGATACATGGAGTGACTTGAAGGTAAATTTAAGGGACATTCTTCTTGTCAAGCCTTTTCTTGTCAATATGTTCATCTTAAAAAGCTGCACAGAAGATTATGGAAATGTCTCACCGTACTGCTTGTAGTACTGTAATACCAAGTATCACTTGGGTAGTATTAGTATTTGTGACAAAACCTTGCGGGCGAATCAGCGGCTAAAATGTATATATATTAGGGGTGTTTGGGGGGGGTTCTGTTCTCCCATCCAGTGGTCTGTGGTAGTCTGAGTACTCTACTCTTCTGCTCCCCATTAGAGTGAAAGACAAAAATGGGCTTTCCCCCAGCAGACCCCTTGAGGGGCCCTCATAGAGCTCCCTTCTCATTCCCAGGTCTTGCTTGTTGGGAAGCACAGTGCATCTACTGGGCCCCACAGCTTTATCAGACCTGAGGACGGGGAAGGGAGGGCGGAGGGGGGTGAGGAGAGGTGAATGAGGTGCTGGGAACTTTCTCCCCCAAAATCCTCTTTGTGTTTGTGCAGACACTAGATAAAAAGACATAACCTGGAACATGTGTCCAACGGGTTTCGGTTCAGTGGCTTCCACTTCACGCTGCCCACAGTCCTGTTTCCTCGCTGAACGTTTGCCAGGCTGGTAAAATATCACAGTAGTTGTTCAGTAAACTCTGATTCCTGACGTTAATGGTTTTTAATTTCAAGCTTTGAATTTTGAATTTACAATTGAAACTTCTAGGGCGGAAGTTAAATGGAAATGAAAGCTGTTCTCTAAATTCTAAACTTTTTTTTAAATGATACAGTAAAATCATTTCAATTTCAGAAATTCTGAGATGATCAAGATCTGCAATTGTGTGGACCTGTGTAGTTGAAGACCTCTCACCGTGCGTCCATCTCTTACCCTACTTCCAAACCAGTGCAGATCATCAGCAGGTCAGTTTGAGATGCCCCGGAAATAGGTTATTTTATTCTTTCTATTCACAAACAGCTTGTAAAATGTTTCCCTTTCCTGGAGGGGCTCCAGGAGTGTGGATGTGCCGGATGGCGTGAGCGTACCTTGGAATCACCCACCGAGAGATTCGAGGCACAGTCGCCTTCGGCTGGGGACAGTTATCGCCCGACATCCGCCGCCGCTGCCTGCAAGACATGCTGGCTGAAACCCCAGCACTCCTGGAATCTCTCAAACTGTCAGCCGCAACAGGAAGATAAATAAAAGGCAGGGGGGGGGGGGCACGAAAGCACAATGGCTAACTGAAAAACTCACCCCTGCGAATGGCCGATTGGGAGCCGGCCTGCGGTGCGCGCTTTGGCAGGCAGCGGCACGACAATGGCGTTTCTGAAATAACATAAGAGAGCCTGAGCTACGGTGAAATGCTGGTGGTTAGCATTGTCTTTGTAGCGATTCTTTGACTTCCCTATGACAAATCCCAGTAACACAGACACTTGGCAGACCAGAGTGGGACACTTTGTGCTATAGAGGGTCCTGCACATGAGAAGCCAAAAAGAACCTTTAAAAAACGAAGCAAGATGTAATGCAGCTTTTTTATGCTCATTCTGGGCCTGTGGTAGCTGCAGTGGCAAGGATTTGTATCCCAGCTACACTGAAAGGACTGCTGAATTGGATGGAGCTTTAAAGTAGAGCAAGAAAGCTCTGGAAAATCGGCCCTCAAAGGCACATTTCAACTGGAAAGCGTTTCTTTTAAGCTGTCACTTCTTGGTAGTTGACAATCCTATTATGGCACCAACTCATTGTAATCAAGAGGGAGATGAGATATATCGGCAAAAACACATTCATCGGACCATCTAAGGTACAGAGAACTTTGTTGTTGTTCTGTGTTTGCGGGCAAACGTAGTGCTGAGCAACCAGATCACCCTATTTGCATTGACATGTGAGTGATGCAAACAGAATCCAGAAGCCAATTTCCTTTTCCTTTTTTTCTGTCCCTGCATCCCTCCACTTGCCGGCACCGCTTTAAAAAGACGTAATGGAAAATAGGTTTTATGGCTTTTCTTCTCCCTCGTTTTTTTAGAGGTCAGAGAAATGGAGCCTTCAAAAGAAAATCCTGCGGAAGTAACGATCCCTCACCTCATCAACTCTTCTGCTGAAGTCTAAATATGCTTTGCGCTGAAATTGCACCCAAAGCCATATATAAAGCGGTTGGGAAGGGATTGTGAACGGCAAGTCCATATGCTGCCATTTATTTGCCTGATAATAAAAGGATTGTATTTCTTTCTTCGTCACCCTCTGCACAATGGGCAGCTTTTGAAGCAGAGACAGATGATGGAGTGGTATCGGCTACCAACGTAGTAGTAGAGATGTCCTAAAATGTATCACTGCTGACAGTAATTCAAAGTGCATTGAATGTGCATTGTAGGTAAAAGGTGTACACGTGGTCATTTGGCAAGTTGCTGTTTTCCCTTTTATTGTAATTCTCCCAGCAATGAGTTCAACCAAATGTAATTACCTGGATTGTATTAATTAAACCTTATTTTTTTGCCAAATAGTCTTTTCTCTGGGTTTTGTTTTTTATTTACCACATACATGAATGAGTGCTGGAAGGGGTCAAAGTCTAGTATGTGACTTTGCATCTGATACTCCCTCTTACCTCTTTCATCTCCAGTCTCTGCTCCTTCTCCACGGGCCTGTCTTGTGTTACAAATGAAGGTGCTGAGAGGGTCAAAATATCAAGGGCCAGACTGCTGACATACAAATACGCAGAGATACTCCTTCAGTGCTTCTCCACACCTTCCGCAGCTGTGTTTTAGGGCCCTCACTCATCCTCCAAGAGCCCGTCTTTAGAGTCTGTGCAGCTGTCTGCAACATCCCCTCAACATCATGATTGTCCATTGGAGAGTTGTCTGTATTATCGTAATTTCAGGGCTTTCATATATATATAGAGATCATATTTTATTGCATTTTCTATATTCACACTATGGGGTGGAGGATGTTGCCTTGTCCTTTCTTCGAAGAGTAACCTGTCACCCAGAAATGATGTTCATACTCTAATTAGATTTGCCTATTATGTTTTGACAGTAATCACTTCCACGTGGGAGACATACGGTACAAACACTATATGTGTGAATTTGCAGAAGGCACATAACATTTGTTTAAAAACAGTCAGTGTGATTTAAGGATAGGGTTGTCTGAAGAGGATTGTTGGCTCCCGTATTAACGGAACTAACTGTTTAAAACGGATATTGTATTGTTCCTCAGCAACGGGTCGCTCTAGAAGACATTGGGTGACCAGGCACTTTCAATCCACTTGACAAGTGCAACTTCGACCACAGGCGCTGTGCCCGTTTGTTTTCTGTCTCCACCAGCCGTGGCCGTTTCCTGTTTTTTGTACAGACAACAAAGGGTAAGGAACACGGACTTGGATGCTGCATCTCATTGGCTTGTTTTCAACAGTTTTTCACAAACTCTTGGAGGAGATTGCATTTTTCTTAGAAAGAACTTATTTTTGTCATTGTTAAATGTGCATCAGCCTCAGGAAACAGTTGGAGGCCCTTTGGTTGCTGAGGCAAAACAAGTAAAGTGAAAAACAATTACCCAAAAGTCCCAACAAAAACTGTGAGCGGAATACTTGATATAAGCAAATTATTCAAACAGCAGTTCTATTGAATGATTCGCTCCCGTGCCTTTTTGCCCATATATGCAGTTTATTATTGTCACCTTCATCAATATAACCTGCGTCCTCTTCACCTGCACATCAACCCTTCTGGGCCAATCACAGCTCTTCACCCTATAATGCTGAAGTGTCACTGGTGGGCTGCTGTTTGGAGGCCCAGAATTTCCAACAGCAGCCCCACATGCGCACATTTACGCTCGCATTTAAAAAAAAAACATGCAGGTAGTACTTCTCACCGGGAGGCAAGCTGGCTGAGGTCCCCCGCTGTGCCTGTGCGCTTGGCTCAAGTGATTTACATTGTGTGTGAAAGAGGGTCGGTTGGCTGTGTCTTAATGCAGAGCTCCGCGAGGGAAGGGGAAGTGGCCCGTAATGAATCGGTGTTAATGAGCTGTTAACTCTGCTCCAGACCAAAGCACCACAGTAACCCCTGCAGATATATACACACAACCTCGCGCACGCACACCTACGCTCAGTTGAACGCGCATGTTTTCTGAGAAAGGCATATTTCAGCGCAAACACGAGTCGAGCGTGTGCGCATACAGACGGCGCGTCCCCCACAGGTTCTCTCTCACACACACACACACAAACACAATGCGCACACACAGGTTCACACTGAGAGTGTGCGTGGACAAATACCTTCACCAGCAGCCAAGCACACACGTACACTCCATTCCAACACATACTCAGTCAATCAGCCTCTCCCTCCGAGGGTAAATGGGCCCCCGGTTCAGAGGCAGTAAATCCTCCTCATGCAGACGTGTGCTTGTGGATGGCGTACGCCCAGCCGGGCTGCTGAGCAGATCAGAGTCAAATAACGTTCGCAAATAATTCTCAGTGTTGGTTTTTCCCTAATGGAGCGCCAGGTGGACGGCGTTTACCATATTTCACATCAGGTCAAGTGTCAGACGCCAGCGGAAAAGTACACTCATGCTAACACTCATATTGTCTTATGTGTGAAACTCTGGATTTCCACTTTTCTGGGGTCCCATTTTTTCATGCAACGCATTTCAGGATATGCTGGATTATACAGCTTCATTCAGATCCATCACTCTATTAATTTCTCATTTGAAGAACGTTGTTTCCAAAAGGACCTTCATTATTAATGCACGTTTTTAACTCATTCAACACTTAAACGTCCACTTAGATTAGTCTTTTTGTTCTAAACGTCAAGCTGCCTGCAGAGTATAAAACTAAACTAAGTGTTCCTCCTTTTTGAGAGGTCTGGAAAAGCCATAATGGTTGAAATAAATGATTCCCCTGAGTCCATGTTTTTGGCCTCAACCAGAAGATACCTAGTGATGAACTACCATCTTGTAAATCCTGACTAGGAAACTAAATAAAACGCCAATCCGCCCCATGAGTATGTCTACTACACGTTAATACACTTAATACAACTTAATGTGTGAAATCACTAAAATTGCGGTGTACCGTTTGTTGCTCGTATGTCTGTGCAAAAACACAATGAAGATCCCATCGGTGTATCGCAGCCTGCTCCGTGCCAGGAGGACAAAGGCGCTCTCTCTGCACCCGCACAGCGCTGACTGAGGGCAAATGGTCCCAGAGCTGATGCTGAGCCAGATAAACCGCACTCTGCACTTGCTCACACTGTCTCCCCCTCTCTCGCACACGCACACACACACACACAAATACACACATATTGCTGAGAGAAATGGAAGAAAAGGGAGATGTTCTTGCAGTGTTTCACTTACCTGAGAGTGTGTGTGTGTGTGTTTGTGGTTTATTGTGAGTGCATTCTACTGGGTGTGCATGCAATCTACAAATGTAGCCCCCCCACCCCCCTCTTCAAGCTTGTTGGAGGTAAAAGGGCCAATTAGTGGAGAATGCTGTTAAGTGATTTTAGAGGAAATCGCTGGAGATTTAGGGGAAGGAAGAAAGATGGCTGCCCGCAAGGTGCTTTGATAGTCCCCGACTGCGCTGGTGCTTTATAGCTAGCAGCTGGTCCAGGTGTTAGGCTAAGCACACACACACGCGCGCACACACACACGCCAGCACGTACGCAACGCCTGCATCATTAAGCTCGGTCCTGACAGGAGGGCTTCTTCGCGGTTTAGAATGAAGTCAGACGCAGTGTGTATTTTCAGCCTGTCTGAACACACGTTAAACCGCTAGCCGCTTGCCTGGAGGGGGAGGAAAAGAGGAAAGGAATGAGAGATTGGCTTGGTTGTCATGCTCAGGCATTCAAATGGCCATTTGTTGTGGCATATAAAATACTGCAAGAAACAACTGGCACGTTTATAGTTTTTCTTCCCAACGCTAGGCAGAGTTTTACAGTCTTATTTTACAGTCGCCGCGACCACCAAATTAGTGTTGTTGTGTAGGTGACCTTTCACGGTTCTGTTGCTATTTTATCCTTTTTACACTTGCAGGAAGTCCACACCCAAAGTCCCAAGTGGGGAGGGATCGTTGCTGTGTCATGAAAACGGATTTATTCGTTTCCGTTTTGTAATCCCTTAATTCTCTCAACTAGACGGCAGTAAAGAAATCCCAGTGATTCATTTTAATGAAACACTGATTTTATGTGTATTAGGGGCACCTCATCAGTAAACCCATCGTCCGATTGTAGAAAGTGTGTGTGTGTGTGTGTGTGTGATAGCTCTGGCGGGAGATCTCCACATGCAATAATTGTAATTTGGCAATAAGTAGCTTTACCAACGAGACGAAGGAGGCGGATTGCTCTAAAGAGAGGGCACCATGGGGGAAGGAATACAAAGGATTATCAGTTTGGACGGTGCTGCTTCGCCTCTTCTCCTCGCACCCCCCCCCCCCATGCCACTTTCTTTCCCTCAGCGAGGCCGACATTCACTTCAGGTCAGCCATATCTAATGTTGGACCTTTACTGGCGCAGGTTTACAGAACAAAGGTGTACCCTCCATTCTTACCGGGTCTGCTAATGAACATTACGGACCGGTTCACTGAAAGGCTAAAGATGCTGTTCGCCCCCCCCCCCCCTGTGGCTTCCCAAGAGGACGACCATCCTCAAAGAAAGGCCTTTCGTTTCTTGGAGTGTCCGTCTTCTCATCGTGCATGAGTCTCGCGTCAACCGCGTTGCTCTCTCATTGTGTGAGCGTGAGTGTTTGTGTCTTTCTCCTTTCATGTGCCACTGATCGGATGAGTTTTTCTTTGGGTAAAGAGAGAGCTGAATGGAGACTGATTTTTTTTTTCAATTCTTCTTTTACGAGTGCGTGCGAGTGCAAAATGATTGTACTTGTGGCAACTTTTATTCAGTTAAGAGTTTGACATGTTCTTTGTCCTCAGGCCACACGTTCCTCTGTATGAGGTACAACAGAAGTGCGTTTTTTTATGCTTCTATTGTCTAGTGTTAGGGAAAGCAAGTGAAATACAAGTCATTAAGGCGTTGAAAAGTCACTCAGTACCTCTGATAGTACAGATACTTACTGTGCGATCCAAACATAAGCTCTGTCTGTCTGCTCAGACACCCACAAAACGTCATGCTTTGATCTCGGCATGAACGTGTCTATATGTGTCACTTCTAAAAGTCCTGACAGGAAGTCCAGCCGGGTGATTTGTTGAGGCAGCGACTTTTATAGATGTGGTTTTTCTGGAGGATTTAGATCTCAGATGATACAGCTAGCCACAGACTGTCTTTGTTTGTCATTAGCTCTTTCTCTTACATGTTCAATGTGTTTTTGTACTCAGATACGAAACCGTATACTCAGCCTCGCCGAGTTGAAAGCATTCAATTATATCCCAATATTATGATAATCTGACCAAAAAACCTCTGCCACGAGGAGACAGCGGTGGTACGCAACTGATGGATCGGCGCGCATTAGCATTAAACCCGTGATGTGTTTTTCATTGCTTCCCTACATTTCGGCAGGACAAACAACACACTG